CAAGAGGGGGGGGGGGGGGGTAAAATGCATAGGAGAGTCCGGAGGAACGTCATCACCTGAGACAGTGCAATGGGTGATCACAAAATCCTATTTGGAAAAACATACCATCCCAATTTATTCAATCAAGGCATGGCAGGGATGGGATGGGCAGCTATCCCCTTCTGCTTTACCCATGAAGTTCAAGGGGGGTACAGTCCAGAATGGGAAAGTTCATGAAGCAAACATCACAAGCTTATTCATCTTCAAGCAATCTTGTGAAACACTCCATCTCAACACTGAGCATTGTAAAGGCACGGAATGGAGAGTGCGAGACAAAATGGCTGTACAGTATGGATTTGGAATAGTAGAGTATCTGGCCAAGCACCACTCACCACAGAGAGGATCCATGTAATGAAGGTATGAGAGACGGGCCACAGAAATGAAAGAAAGCATTAATATAGACTTACACAGTCTTAGAATTACACCGAAGCTTGAAGAACAGCCACATGTGGAAGGCAAAAATGCAAGGAAGCTTAAACCGCGATATGATGTAAATAATGGGAGATGAATGTGGTGGGTGTTTGCAGGATTTCCTCCAATGGTTGACAAAGATGAGAAGTGATGGACAAGGTGAGGTGTCAAATTTGATGAGAAGTAACTCTGAACAAATTCCTGTGGGAAGAGGACAATGAGGAATAAGCCAACTGAATCAAATAAACCCAATTGGTGAGGGTAGAAGGGAATGGATCACTAGATGAAAAAGATTGGAATCACGTAAGGAAGTCGTGCGGGCAATATAGCAACGAAGGGCATGCACTGGAAATAGAAGTCTATCCGAACTGGGATGAGGATAGAGATGAGAGATAGAGGGAAAGGAAATAGGTGAAAAGGAGGAGTTGCTCTCATGAGTTGCTGAGGTTTTCAGGAGGAAGGAATGAACCGAATAAAGGAGAAGATAGGTATGGTGGTAAAGTGTGCATGTAATGTCGATGGCAAACAAGTTGGAATATCAATAAACACAGACCAAGAGGAGAAGGAAATTTGCCTTAAGGGAAAGGTGAAACATAGAACACAAGGAAAGAGGTTTTAATGGAGGTAAAGTAAGGGAATGGAGGACCATATTAACATCCCAGTCTGGCAGAGTAGGTTGTCAGGGAGGACAACGATTCCGGAAGGAACAGATTAATATTGTAAGGACAGTGGATTCAAAGACTTTACGGTAACAGGAAAGTTGA